TTTTTTTTTTTAATGAGATAGGAGAGAGGAGATACTAAGGGCATGCTTGCATAACTCTTTTCTCGGATCGTCTAAATATGAATATAATCATAAACATATAAGGGTTTTGAGTTATCTAACGGAATAAAATTAACATTTTAATGTGAAAGTCTAATTCCTTATAAATTATATATTTTTTTCACTCAATTTTTGTTTTATCTCTCTTAAAACTCTAAAATAGTATAAGAATTCATTATTTAAATAAATTGAGTTGATCCATAAAAAATATAAGATTGGTGACTCTCAACAGAGCATCATCTTATAGTGTGCGTTAAGAGTAAAATAACTGAGTTTCACATCGGCTAATAAACATAATCACAGGTATACATACAAAATTGGTGATTCTTGACAAATCATCACCTTACAAGAGCGTGTTAAGGGTAAAATATATGAGTTTGAGCCACCTCACTTAATAAGATTGACCTCTTAAGATAGAAGTCTAATCTCTTATAAAATCTAATTTTTCTCCCTCAATTTTCTTCTCATCTCTGCAATTGCGTCCTGAAAGTTGTTTTAGACTTTTTAAGAAAGTTCAAAACTGTTTTTAAGAATGTTTGAATAAATTTTTAGACAGTTTTGTCTTTTAGAAAAGCTTCTATTTAAAACCACCAAAATTTAAATAAGACTTTATATGTTGCATTATAGCACGTTTATTGCTTATTAGAAGAGTTAAATACCATTTTTAGTTTTATAAATCACTTTTAAAAATGTTAGTTTCAAATACTAAATTAAACCCGCACCGTTTACCTATCATCTTACTCTAAGCAAAAGCAAAAGTAATGTCAAACAACCTTGTATGACTTCCTTCCAAAGAGTTTCTACAAGAAATATGAAAAGTTATTTAAAACTTTGAGTACACTTTTTTTATTTATTTATTAATTTATCTTTTGATTTTGTTTGTAAATTACAAAACTGAAAGTGCAATTTGGACTTCTGATCTTCTGCTATCCTGTGAAAACGAAAAGTTAAATCTCTCCCAAACAAGCTATTAAAATCTATAATGTGGTATGTTAGTAACGATGATAAATAACTTCATTTGCTTGCGATATTGGATTCTTTCACCATACATGACATTAAATTATTAATTAATGAGTAACAATTGAGTTAAGTGTTAATTGATTATTAATGGGGTTCGAGAGAGACAATGGTCCAGAAGCAGAACATGGGTCTGCTTGTCGTCATTACAACATTCTCAGTCAAAGTTATTAACCAAAAAAAAAAAAAGAAAAAAAAGGGAAAAAGAAAAGACATATCATTCAAAGTGGTCACGTGATAAGAGTCAGGACACGACACTCAACACTTTCTTCTGTATGTGTCAATTGTCGGTGCCCTTTTGCGGCAAAATAAATAAATAAATAATAACGACTTACTTTTTAATAAAGAAATACAATTTGCTTTGATTAGAACTAATTAATTAAGAGCATTGGCACGCCGATAAATTTTGAATCATTAGTCATAATTTTTTATAATATTTTTCTCATATAAAAAATACACATAAAATAAAAATAATTTTAAATTATAATTTTAAATACATGAATTATGATAAACCCTCACATGGCTTTGGCTACAGTTCCACGGGTGGAATGCTCATAGACGGAAAAAAGTTGCTGAACGTAGACATTAAAGTTGGAGATCGTAACACGGCTTTTAGATGATCAAATTTAAGGAAAATTTTAGTCGGATATTTTGTGTCATATCAAAATATAAATTTGATATTCTGTATTTTTAATAATTTTATTTTGGTAGTCTTATGTTATATTAAAATATAAATTTGTTATTTTGTGTTTTTATAATTTTACATATATATCTTGGCGTTTTAAAAAATTATTTTTAGTATGCTTAGACACTTTTTAAGAAATAAAGACCGTGTTTGAAATTGATTTTATTTTTATTTTTTATGTTTAAAAAAAAGATGAAAACGTTTTTAAAACGGCATTGGAAGTAAAAAAGATAAAAAACAGAAATGAAAATAATTTTGTATAGTTTAATGTAAAATGAGAGAGAAATAAAAAATAACTTTTAGTCGTTTTTCATTTTTTGTTTTTCATTTTCTCTTCTCTCGAGCATAGAAAAAAAAAGATATTAATGAGTTTTTTTACACTGAAAATAATTTTTTGATAAAACTACCAAACATATTTTTAAAAATAATTTTCTATTTGAGATTGAAAACGTTTTCATTTTCATTTTCTTATAAAAAACAAAATCATTTTAGAATGAGTTCCAAACGCGTCCAAAATGCCATTTCAATCCTTCCTTTTAATTAAATAAAAACAATAATTTTTTTTTAAAAAAAGTAAAATTAAGTTAAAACATTTTTAAACTAAAAGCAAAATTTTTTTTTTCCCCCTCAGAATACGATCGAGAAGGATTTGGAGATTTCAAGAAGGGTTTTGAGATCTGTCGTTTGATTTCGCGTGAGGATCTGGGCTTGGCGGAGGCTGGGAATATCGTGTTAGACTCAGTTCAGTTTTTTCGAAACATCTTGAATGTCCTGAGACTTCAATAAACCTCATCTCTATAAAGTGTGGCTACTTCATTATTGTAAAACCAACGAGAAGGGCTACCTTTGTCTCTTGGTGCCACCACAGTGGATTCATGGAGTTACAATGATAATTGTCATGTATCGACTTCGTTTTTGAAAGCTTCAGGTGTTATTTCTAAGGTGTTGAAGATCTGCAATTGGTTTTTCTTTTTCTTTTTCTTTTTTTTTTTTCCTAAACTTGTTTGTGGGATTTTGAATTTGGTTCTCAATTTGAGTTTTTGTTTTTTTACTAGTAAGTTTGAATGATATTTTATATCTCAAAAAAGTGCTTAAGGGTACTAAAAAAATATTTCTTAAAGTGTTGAGACATTCGTATGAAATTATTGAAAATATAAGATAGCAAAACATAAGATACTAAAATAAAATTTTTCCTTAAATTTATTAGTGTTGTACCTCTCCATGTTACATACAGTAGCTAGTATGTTATTTAGAGAGGCCGACGCACTGATAGACTGTAGACAAAGCCTTACCGTGTGTGTGTGTGTGTGTGTGTGTGTGTGTGTATAATATTACTGTATCTATTTATCAGTCAAATTAATGGGGCATAAAAAATATATGCTATATAATCTTGACAAACACTTGTTATCTCATCAGATCAAAGGAAAAGCTAGAATAAAAAACATCCATCTTAATTAAGCAACAAGCTGGATTAGGGAAACTCCTGATTAGCTTAGTTTTCCTTCTTTAAGAATATTAACCTAAGCTAAATTAGTAGTTAACTGGCGAGTGACGACGGCGCGCATTGCACATGTACCGACAGTTGAGTAAGCAAGGTTCACCACGGTGAAGCGGCTAATCCATTCTCATGCCTTCACAACGCCCTCTTCTCGTGCATAGCGCAAACTCTCCTACTTCAAAGTCATCCTTGTTGAATCTATTCCCATACATGTGGCGGCGGTGGCGGCGGCGGCGGCTGTAGTTAATATGTGTATGAATTTAATTAATATTGTTTTGACACAACATAAGGGCTTTTTTTTGTTGTACAAGTTTGCGTAAATAGAAATTATAAATTCCAAGTACGACTACATTAAGCAAAAATATCTTCAGTGACGAACAATTGCTCACTATCACTACAATTCTCCGATGAAAACTGAAGCTGCTGATACTTTAGCTGCCTCGAAGCCTCATACAAAGCTATTCCAACACTGACAGAGAGATTCAGACATCTGACATATGTTTCGACCATCGGAATCCTTACAGTTCCGCCTCCAAACTCTTCGCTTTTGCAATCTTCCAGGGCTTCCTGTGGTAGGCCAGAGGTTTCGGAGCCAAATATAAGATAATCACCTCTTCTGTAAGAAAAATCCTGAAACATATATAATTGCTTTTGGTCAATTTTTGAAAATTCAACTCATTGACTATACTGATGAAGGTTACGACTCAAGACGTAACATTTTACTAGTGCCTGTCGGAGTTTTTACTGTTGTCACTCCTTACAGGTTTAAATTCACATTCCGAAGAACACAATAGCCATAAATGTTCATGAACAACAGAGTTCAAAATTGAGTACTTAATCATGACAATTATGCATAACTCCGGAGTACTGAAATTTTAACTTAATATGAAAACTGAAAACATAAAATAAGGTAAAGTCGGATGGTCTATATCGGGATCAACAAATGCAAACGGGTGTGTTCTTCTCATCATATCATTAGTGCATCAAAAGTGGCTGATTCGGAAACTCTACGATGAAAACATGCTAATATACACATTCTACTACTGTCCCAAGCTGTTTTTATGATTTCTCATAAAAAAAAAAAAAAAAAAAAATGAAAACAAGACCATGACCAAACGGACCCTCAACACTTGCCAATATTGAAGGAAAAGAAGATAGAAATTGTGAACAAAGAGAGAGACATATATCATACAAGCAAATAAACTGGAACTGAACAAACTAAGATATAACTATGACCACTAATGATGTTATATTTGCCAAGTTTAGTTCAAATTATTAACAAGAAAAAAAAAAAAAAAGAAAACCCATTGAATATAGGACTTACTGAGTGAATGTTTGTTCCTCTCTTAGTAAATGCAAGCAACCGCTTCTCCCCTTCCTGTACGAAAGAAAAGAACTACATGAAGAATATGTAGTTAACGAAGAAATTTATGAAAAGATATCTATATTCACAGTCCAAAATGAGCAAACCTGTTGGTTGAAATAGTGCTTAAACTCTGCCCACGAACTGTGAACCTTAACGACCACATATCTAAGAGAAGTTAAGTGTCCCAAAAAGGTATATTTCCATTCAAGATATTTATAAAGAATATTGTTCTTAAGGGAACTAAGAAGTACACACTCCTAATTAAAACTAACTTAACCAAGAAGAGCAAAAATTAGAGATGTGCATGATTTGGTTCAGTCCCAAACCCGCCAGTTCCTCTTGGTTTTCTAAAAACAAAAATCAATCCTGCCCAAGATACGGCCAATAATCCAATCCAGCACGCTTCAGTTTTGCATCATCTACCTGAAACCCCAATGGCTGAAAAAGAAGAAGAATCCTGTCAAATGACCAGCATAAGCAGCCGACAAACAATTCTTGAAATAATGAGAGTAAATTGACTTATTTCTGTACTTAAGAGGAACAATGAAATAAAATCTTTTATTTAAAAAAAAAAAAACTTAAACAAGTGAATCGACCCCGACTAGGTGTAGACCCACGGCTGATGCTGCACACGTTCTAGCAATGCAACCTGTGTTTCCAGGAATCTGCCAAGGACAATAGAAATCTCAGAGCCATCCTTGAGAAATTGAGGTTGTCTGCAAGTTAAATAAAAAGAAAGCATAACTTTTGGGTTTTAATATATTAGATTAGATTTTCCAAAGCTTTTAGAAATATTAGGAGAAACTAATGAACATATAACAGTAGGGAACCATAAAGCATCAAGTGTGCTTCAAGCATGACCAGCTTGTTGAATATAGGGTATAGAACAATTTTTGACATATTAGAATAACTTTTTGTTATTTTATTTATTCCCAATTAATACTTCAGTTCGTATACTTAGACAACATGAAATACAGCTTCTTGATCAACTATGTTGCTAATCTCATTGCCAAGGATGGTAAAGCCAAGCAAAGACATTCTTCACTTCGGCACAGAAGAAAACCTGAAAACATGCGTAGGCAAACGTTGCATGACCAGAAAAGCACACAAAGCACGCTTACATATACAAATACACCAGAAAACATTCTATCCTTCATATATATTAAGAAAAGAGAAAAGAACCCCTATAACATATCACTCTGCCTATTTTCTAGCACTCATCATACACTCACTTATGCCCAGCAAAACTCGAGCCATATGCAACGTACAAACGTAATCCACTTGAGTTACACACAGCTGCTCACACACCTCTTCACTTGTAGCCATAACACTAAAATATGCTTCATGCAACACTAATTAGGTTGTACATTTAGATGTTTATGCTGGTTAACTAGCCAACTTGAAGAAACAATCATAGCAATACTTCATGTCAAATATGTGGCTGTTAATTTACCATCATAAAGATTGATACTTTATATAAGAAGAAGACGAGTCAATGTTCAACCATCAAAAGCCAGTTTTTATCTGGAAAGATATAGTTCTTCTTCTACTCTTCCTAACTCTTCTTTTTTATGTAACACGCATTACTTTCAAAAAACAAGATGAATTCCATGAAAATTTCCATTTCCCTTTGATTGTGACTATCACCACTTGAAGATGAATCTCCGACGCTGCTCGTTTTGAAGAACAAGAACATATAACTCTCCGGCCAATGTTTAAACACAATTGCCTCTTCTAATTGATGCAGTTATCCTACATTTTCGTACCACTCTGCTACTCCACTCCACTTAAGTCCAAACTTTAAAGAGGACAACCTCAACTGTACGATTCAAAACAGACAGCGCATATGAAGTGAGTGTAATGCTATTGTCCAAAAAAATCATCTCCAAGGTATCACACGTCGTACAATATCGACCTCCTGATTTAAATCCTACGGTCGTGATCAATGGTCCTACGAGGCCCTTACATTAGGGTGCCATCACTAAGAATCTCCCCTAATTTTTTTTTCTTTAATTACAAATTAAAACGAATAACTCCGGTAAATAAATAACTCGAAATCCCTAACATTAATCTATAAATAAAGTCAAGCAATTCAGGAGCCGAAAACTAAACAAATGGTAAATTTTCTATACAATCACAATAACATAAAAAGAAAAAGAAATCCTCTTTCTTTTTTTTTTTAATTTGGGTTTATGCCCAATCAAATTCAAACCTGAGGTGAAACAAGAACAACTTGAAGAATCTTATGCTGTTTGGGGACGACTTCATTGCCCAGTGCTTCTCCCGCTCCATGAGGAACACCGTTGTTCTTCACTGCTTCCGCTGCAACAACAACCATTTAATCACACAAATAAACATATATACACATATATATATATATATATGTGTGTGTGTGTGTGTGTGTGTGTTTGTGTGTGTGTGTGTTTGTGTGTGTGTGTGTGTGTGTGTATCGAGAGAGAGAGAGAGAGAGAGAGAGAGAGAGAGAGTGTGTGTGTGTGTGTGTGTGTGTGTGTAGCGAGAGAGAGAGAGAGAGTGTGTGTGTGTGTGTGTGTGTGTGTATCGAGAGAGAGAGAGAGAGAGAGAGAGAGAAGCGTACTAGACAGAGAAGATGAGGAGAGAGAAAGGTGGAGTCGACGGGCGAGACGAGGCAAGGAGAGAGAGCGAAGGAGAGAAGGTGATTGTAAATGGGGAAAAGGAGTTAGGGTTAGGGTTTTCAGGGCAGTCGTCGTCGTCGCCGTCTCCATCGGATTCGGATTTTCTTCTCTCTTTTTCTCTGCTGAACTAGCTAGCAACTAAGTAGGAGCAAGGAGCTAATTTTGCCTTATTTGAGTTGTTAGTCCCAACCTTTTGTCTTTTGTTGCACTTTCGTCCTCAAGTTTTCTTTTCTTTTTTTGTTTTGTTTTTTTGAGTTCCTTAGCTTCATGTTTACAACTTTACGTTTTGTTTTTTGTTTTTTTTTTTTTGTTTTTTTGTTTTTTTTTGAGTGAGAGGGGGAGAGAAGGCTTGTAGGAATTTTTCTTAATTTTATAAAGGATTATTAGTACAAATGGTCTCAACCAATTTAGTAAGTGACAATTTGGTATCTAATTTTTTTTAACAAAACAACCCCAACCTCTTTAAATAGATGCACTATGGTCATTTCTGTCAAAATTCATCTAAAAACTAACGGCAGAAGGCACTTGACCGCCCACGTGACCCATTAAGTTAGGGTATATGTGTAAAAACAAATCCTTGGTCAAATTTGGGTGATTTATACATAAAAATCCTAGGACTTTTCAAATTTCTTCAAATTGGGGCTTAAGATGGTGCCAACGACAGTGCCGAAGAAGATGGGGAGGGCTGGTAAAGCTCAGGGCCGCCGATGAGGGCTTTTCACTTTGGGTTGATGCACCACTCTTTGACAAGCGGTACTGAGCACGTGAATGGAGGGAAAAACAGCGCTGAACAGAGATGCGTATTATCGCCGCCGTAATTAGTTTGAGCTTCTTCCCCTCATCGGGCACCATTGTCGCACGACATATTTCGGCATTGCACGACTTCAAACGAAGATAACGATGGAGATACTTCCGGTAGTAGTGGATGAGAAGAGGATGGGTTACGATGGCTGTCGTGGCTGGTACGAACGCCGCTGTTGTGTTGGTTATCTTCTTCACGCCGACTTTCACCTCCTCAACCCTGCTCGTCGATGTTCGTGATGTGGGCTCAATTTTGGTAGTTTGTTGGGCGAGATTGATCTGAGTTCGTCAAAATTTTAGATGTTGTTGTTGGTTTGATTGAGAGATTGATGAATCTCTTCAAGAAAGACATCAACTGTGGACTATTTGACTTTGAAATCAAGGGGCGTCAACCTCAATTCCAAAATCAGGCTTGTTTTGGTGAGTGTAGATCTGGGTTTGGTCATTGTTTTAGTTAGCTTTGTTAGATTCATGTGTTGATGAGTATGGGTGACTGTGATGATGGTGATGAGAAGAGCTATGGTGGTGCTCGAAAAAGGATGGTGGTCGAGATGGTGAACGGTGGATGTTGGGTTGATGTTGGTTATTGTGGTCTTGGTGACGGTGGTTGTAATGGTGGTGGTAGTTTGGTGGAGATGATGATGGGTGATGAATTTATTTTCTTTTTGGGCATTTCAGTCATTTTAGTGAAAAAGATGGTCACATGATGAGTTATGTGTCTTCTCTCGTTAGTTTTTAGACGGATCTTGACGGAAAAGACCAGATTGCATCAATTTAAAGATTAAAAATCAAACTGTCACTTATTAAATAAGTTGGGGACCATTTTATACCGATAACTCTTTTATAAATTTCATGTGAACTATATAGCCTAACTCCACACGTTGGGCTCGTATTCTAAAAAGATAGATAAATTAGCTAAATGATTTTTTCTTACTTTTTTTTAAAGTAAATATTTGACTTTTTTATTTTACGAAAATAGCTTATTGTTTTTTTTTTGTTTTATGAAAACAATCTTTTTTTAAGAGTTAGTAAGTAATTGAGCCACAACCAAATAATAATTGACTCATAATATATTAATGATTTATTATTGATAAACTTATAATTTGTTAATTTAAATTAATTAATTACTAATTAATTTTGATTAATTATTAATTGATATTGATTAATAAAGAGTTAAAAAGTGTAAATTAAATTAAATTAGTTGAATGTTAAATTAATCAGTGATCGGCCAATATGTTAATAAAAATGGTTATTTTTGTAATTTTAGAAAACTTGGGTCATTTATGAAAAAAATCCTTAAAAAGCCCTTGTGTTGAAAACTGTAAAAAAATTTATCTCAAGTTATGTATGAACGAAACAAAATTGCTCAAAACACCACTATGTCCATAATATTAATAAAACAATGACGTGAAATTATTTGTAATTTCATAAATGGCTCTGTGTTATTAATTTGTAATAATATTAGGAAGGTAACTTAACACAAAACCAATAATATAAGAGAAATCTATTAAATTGCAAGATGTTTTGAACAATTTTATAAAGTTTAAAGAATGAAATGAATAAATTTAAAATTCATAACATGTTGAATTAGGCTACATAGCATAGGGACATTTATGTTTACAACGTTATCTTTATTTTTTTTTAATGAAAATGTTTATAGCGTTATTTGTGGTATATTTTGTGGGAAACTTTATGGTAGAACGTGCTATTTTGCTCTACCGGTAGGAATAATATGTTTTAATTATTGAATCAAATTTTTAATGGTTAGTGTGGGTCCTTATTACAAATTTATAGCGTGCTACAGAGAGCTGATCTATCTATTATTAATAAAAATTACAATAGAAGGAGTTAAGTGGGAATAATTCAAAATTCAAGGGGCAAAGTAGTTTTTAAAATTCAGAGGTCAAACTGAGAATGAACCTAAAATTTAGGAGCACCAATAATAATAATCCTAAAGATAATTATACAAACTATCTATTTTAATTCGAATCTTGAATCTAAAAATGTCTTGTGATACACAATATTACAAAAGTATTTAACTTTTATAAGTTTAGTACATGCCATACCAGGACATACCGGTTATACTCCTATTATATATTGTGAGCACATTCCTAATTATTTGCTTCTTTTTATAATTGTTTTTTTTTTCTAAGCATATTTTAGAAAGTTAACTTTCCCTTTTTTAGAATAAATTTTATTTTTACCCCTGAATATTGGTCTCTTTGTCACTTTATCTCCTAAACTTTGAAACATTATTCACTTTACCCCTTCTATTTATTTGACTAACGGATTTGATGACATGACAATAATTAGAAGGGATAGTTTAATGAATTATTTAAATAAATACCCCCTGAAGTATGTATCAAATTTCAAAATGTCCCATGATCTATCAAAACACATCAAAATGTCTCTAATCTATGGAAAACATAATAAAATAACAGTTTTACTGATGTGTCACGTATTTAAAAATTAATTAGACATTAAATTATAATTGAAAAAACAAAAGTGATTAAATATTGAAAAATAATAATAAAAAAGAAATATAAAAACAGTTCACTCCAACAAAAATTCAAAAGTTGAATAAATGAACTATTTATTTTTTTTGTTTTCAAAAGTCACAACCCATAAGAAAAGAAGAATTTTTTTTTTTTTTGAAAAACCATATTCCTCTTCAGTTGTTAAAGTGCATAACAAAACACATTATTCCTTAAAGAGAATTTTTTATTTTTATTTTTGAATTGTCTTTTAGGTTCTTTAAGGGAATGTCTACGGTAGGGTGAGCCAAATCACCCTACAAGTAAGGTGAAATTGTAAAGGCCCTTGGATTAACAATCAATGGCCCAAATTGATTAGTCTCGTGTAGGGCTGGCAATTCGTGTTCGCGTGTCGTGTTCGAGCTGACACGATTATAGTAAACACGAACATGACATAATTAATAAACGTGTCAAAAACCCACACATGAACATGGAACGCTAATAACACGGTTAGCACGACATGACACACGAACATAGTTACTAAACGGGCCTCGACAAAAAAAAAACACGTTTATGACTCGTTTATGACCTAACTAGCAACAATAGTGGAATCTTATATTATATTCCAAACCAATATTAATTGACTACTTAATATCACTTATAATTAAATTCTGGCGAGTATATAATAAGAAAAACATAAATTCTCTAATTCTCCATAACTAACACACATAAAATATATATATATATATATATATATATGATACTACTAGATTATCATATATATGTTTCAAAACATGACCAAACATCTAAAGAAGTTTGAAAATATAACCAAGTACATGTTAATAAGTTTGAAAACATAACCAAACATTTGAATGTTAAGTGCATGCAACATAAAATAAATATAGGAAAATGTCTTCTTTGAGGTTGAATGCCCAAATACGGTCCAAAAGTTTCCAGTTGCTTTAGCCTATAGATGTAAAAAGAAAACATTTTATGAATGACACAAAATTTTTAGCATAGGCATGCTACAATTTATTTGTAAGATACAAATATAGAAATCTTCATTGTTTCACTGCTATATTGAGTAAAAAATCAGTGTAGAAAAAAGAAACTTCAGAAAAGTCATCCCTAGAAACAAACCAAACATAGAATCTTATTTAATTGTTAGTTATTTAGTTATTGGCCAAAGACAATTCATAGAATTACTTGTAAAACTTAGTTTATGGATAGGGAAGAGCATTATAATATTATATTATATATATATATATATATTAAACAAGGGATGTCAATATATAAATAAAATTCATGTTACCTTTCATTGCATTTGAGGTTTTAAGGTTGTGAGAATTTTGAGATGAACTAAAAGTGGGCTCATTGATATCCAAAGTAAAAACATCTTCAGTAATTTCATCCATAGCTTCACGAATTGATTTGTTGTTTTCTACACACAACAGATAAGTTATATTGTTAAGATAACATAAGCTAAGACAGTAAATAAACAAAAAATAATAAAAATATTGTTATCTCTAAATAGCCAATCCCTCGTACAAACCAATGCCTCAACTACGTCAGGTTTAAGTGAACTCCTATATTGATCCAATACTCGTCTTCCAACACTAATGGCAGATTCATATGCTACAGTAGATATTGGGATACTTAGGATATCACTAGACAAGCAAGAAAGCTCCAGATAGCGAAACTGGTTTCCATTTCAAAATTCAAGAACATCCGACTTAACACTCCCTTGTACTCTTGGCTCATCCAAATAAACCTCTAATTCTGAAATCTACATAATAGCTTACTCTTGGGCCGTGTTGTGTCGTGTTAGCCCGGTAACGGCCCGTTTAACTAGATGAGTTAAGCGTGTTAAATGGGCTGGC